GTCCTCCCTGTGACTGTCATGGCTGATGTGAAAATCCAAGAGCAACCAGCCAGCACATGATGTGAAATGCAATTCATGTTTTTTTTTATAGGGGTAAACACAGCAAACATGACTCTGACTGTTTATAAGGTCTACTGATAAAGGGGAAGGTCTACTGAGCTGATGAAATAACAGAGTTTGGAGGAGGCTGGGACAAACCACAGAGGCAAAACCACTATTCTGTCACAATACAGAGTTCACAAAAAGTTAACAGTATATATACACAGCACAGTAAACTGGTAATAGATCAAGGAAAAATAAATGAGAGGGGGCTCAGGCCTGTGGAACAATGAACCTGAGGACAAACAAACTATTGTCTGGCTCCAAGAAAAGGATATTGTTGTCCACGTTGAGGTTACACTCTTACACTTACTGTAATCATGATTCAAATGGAAAATCCCTTTTTATAATGAGTCCTGTTCTCTCTCACTAAAGTGTTTAAAACTTTTCCTTCATGCCTTTAGTCCTAACATTTCCAAGGAGCCTGGCACTTGTGTTCAAATGAAAATGTTGGCATACCTTTCTCCCTTAATAAGCCACCCACTCCCTCCAGTTAAAAAACACAGACATGCCATTACTCACTTAAAGTTAAGGCTCTCCCACTTCTTCTGGGCTAGCCAGCCACCACACAATGACTTGCTACTGTTCAGAGTAGTGCTGGTGCCTCTGTAGCTGAAAGACAGAAAATCACCACAACTGGCATGAAAACCATTGCTGAATCCATAAAAACACAGTGTGCCAGTAACTTGGCCCAGAACACTCAAAAGTGCAAGAATGGGCATATGTGAGGGCATAAATTGACCAGCAGCTCAGACTGCCGGATCAGAATGTGGGCTGTCTTCTTAACTTTTAGTGACTCAGCACTGCACAGACCTCATAAGTGTACTTACTGTTTTTAACCAGAAATGGGCATTTCTGTAATTGCGTGACCTCAATACCAGAGCAACCGAGAAAGAAAGGAGAAAGAAATGGTTGTGTTAGCGTGTGTGTATTTACCTCTCAAGTATGGCATAGGTAAGGTAGTACCGACCAAGGAGATGACGAAAAGGAGAAGTGGGAGAAGCCTAAGGCACCATGCTGAAGTCAAAGAAGACAAAAACACCGGTAAACATACAAGGCTTATAAAAATTATCAGATTTCACACACAGTACATGCTGGCTTCAAAGTCTTGACACCTTAAAGTGAGAAAAGGACAATCATCCTGTGACAGAAAATAATCTACTGCTTTTAATCAACGACAAATGAAAGCTTTAGAAAAGTGGTCTGCTCAAGACTTGGCACCTCATTTACAACCGCTAACATCATTTTATCAATCTGTAGTCACATTTTCAAAACACAACTAGCCCAACATCGGCTTGTTCATACCATACCATTAACACAATTCATGTCGTTTCCACAGAATATGCAGTCAATTAATCCATGTTTTTCTTTACATACAAGCTAACCCAATACCAAAACCTTAAATAATGTATAAAGACTCTACTTTGTTACAATAGCAGCTCAAAATCTGTATTGAAACAGCTGATGAGTATTTCTGAATAAACATATCATTGAAACATTGAGAAATAGCTGATTTATTGTAATTTGGGTAAAATAGATAAACCACAGCAACAGTAATTCCAATTTAAACCAGAGACATATAGGTGTTGAAGTTCTTTCATTTACATACACATTGCACTAAAAAGGGGACTTCCTGGACTACAGTTTATGTAGTATCTGTACCAGGCTAGGTACTGAAAAAATAAACTGAAATAAACATTAAGAGATTTCCAGTAACTACCACTTTCTATTCAGAGACAGCTGCACAGGTCTCCAGGAAACAATACAAACAGTAGTGTGGTCACAGTGTGTGACTTGTGCAATAACCTATTTAGTATGATCTCAAAATGTTATTTCAAACAAGTTTCTAGTGTTCTTTCAACTAGTCAGATAAAAAAAATACATGACATTTGTGAAATCTAATGTGCACTGTGATCATGAGTTATGTGTGCTTGATTTGATTTTGACCAAAAGTGAGTGACTGAGTGAGTTCTGGGTTAACCCCTGCTGACTTGTTTTCATCTTCTCAATTTTTCCATTCATGCATACTGCACATGTAACGACGGTGGCCTCAGGTACTGGGGGCAGACATGCTAGTAAGGAGGCTGAAAACCACGCTAGCGCGTCTCTTCTGGCCTCGGGGAGTGAGGTTACTCACTGCACAGCCTTTCCTGGCTACCGTTACACACACTCTATGAGTTTCTGCCAGGGACAACAGCACTGTGTACAGTTAAGAGTACCATGTATAAAGCTGAACATCAGTGGTATGCTTTTGAATTTTGGATGGTAAGTATGAGATGGGCAGGTACTTCCAGTGAGTGACATCTAATATAGATACAGTATATATATAATATGTACAATATTATCTTAATATAATATTTTAAGCTTCAACCAGGAAGAGTGCCATCACAGTTTTCAAGACCATACATACATATCCAAAATAATAATAATGGATACATAAAAGATATTGGTAAATATGCGCATTTGCTTTCTTTCCAAGAGTTCGATGAAAAGACTAATTACCACTCTCATTTGTGTACACTAATGTGAAGCTTAGCTTAGTTTAGCACAGAGACTGGAAAAAGGGGGACAAAGCTAGGCTGGCTCTGTCCAAACGTAGCAAATATACGTTATAAGTTGATTCTTTAAATCACAACAAAAAGTGACAACTTGCAATGTTACAGGTGTTTATGTGTGGGGATATTTCTTGGCCATGAGATTATTTCAAACTGTGACCTCAAGGTCAATAGATCATTAATCTTTGACTAAGTCCATTTTGGTCCCTAATCCTCACATCATTGCATGTGAAATAACACAGATCAGATTAGTGCTTTACTGAATATCAGGAAAGTCGCATTCAAGTAATCTGCTATTAGCATTAACAATATCTGTTAAATAAATGACCACCACCCACAGCAAAAGAACTTACTTTTAGTTGCCTTCTGGGACATCTTCACGTGCTCCTTGGTCCTCTCATGTCTTCACAGTGCATGAGGTTATCCTGGTTACGGGCACAGGAAGCAGAAACACTACATAACATATCCTTTTAACTGCTTTTGAAATAGAAATTTCCCCTACTGAGAAGAAGATTTGAAAGAGGAACTGCTGTAAAATGTAAAATGCAGCGGTTCATTGAGTCATACTGAGACTCCCACGCACACACACACACACACACACACACACACACACACACACACACACAGAAAAAGAGATTGGAGTAAATGAGAGTGAGAGAGAAACAAATAAATGCAAGTAAGCAAAAACACAACAGGAGGGTGCACAGGAAAGAGAAGGAGAGAAACACAAAGGTAAAATAAAAACGAAAGACAGAGATAGAAGCTGAGAGAGAGAAGAGCAGCAGATGAAGGCTGATCAGTTTAAGAGGATCTGAGCTGGGGGGACATTTACAATCCCACAGCATCTCTGCAGCACTGTGTGCTTCGTTCAACTGTGCTATGCAGAGTTCAGACTACAGCTTAGAACAGATTAAAAGGCATTTAACGCTACATCTGACTATTTAATGCACAATGCACATCTTATCCACAATTTTCCTGAGGCCAGAGGCGTCCATACTACCAAATGGTTGTATTATGCCCAACACTGCATCAGAACCAGCACCACCGAAAATAGCAAACAGCAGGAGTGCACAACTGAATATCTATTTTGAGATGTGCTTGTGTGCGCATGTACTGTACATGCTACTTTGCAACAACAGTGTTATGGCATAAAATTGTTTCCTCTTACATTTAATCTTTTATGTATGATCTTTTAATATTATTATTAATGTTCTCGTTATGGCTTATAGATATTTGTGTATTGTGTTTTTATCCTTAACCTTTCCTCTCCTATGTCAGTCTGTCCACATTTACTGGGGTTTAGGACAGAGCTGTGAGATTGTTTTGGCGTTTTCCTCTCTTGTTGTTCCTCTCCTTTCCTGGAATGTTCATTCAAGGCCGAGAGAGGATCTCTGCTCCCCAAAACATAGAAACCTAGACTGTGTAAATGATGATGCATCCCTTTGCTTGGGGCCAGACACTCGAAGCCGCCCTAGGCAGCAGGTCTCTGGACCAGCTGTATATGTGTTTTAGTAATTCTCTGTTTATTCTCTTTTGTTAAATAAATTCTTCAAAGACAACGGTTGGTTGTAACTCAATTCTTTGCTCAACCCCTCACAAGGAATATCATTTCCACAAAAAACAGTAATGTTATACTGCTGTAAATTTACTAGTTAATTATGCACGCCCAAACTTGGAGACAGCAAAGGAGTGGAAGCCATATGACTGATTAACACCACCACAGGGAGTTTCTGGGAATTTTACTCTCAAGCCCCTCCCTGTGAAGCAAAATGGTCATTTCACAAGATAAAATATGATACTGCTTTCTCCAGAATCAGGGTGTAGTTTCTGGCAGTTACAGTGGAGCGGGTGTGTTTTCATTCTGAGCCAGATAAGCAGCTGGGCTGTGTTTGTTTCCTCAGTTATTGGAGGGACATGGTGTGTGTGTGTGTCTAATCTCACATACAAACTGGATCCATCAGCCTAATATTTTGTGTGCACATTTATGACTGTATGCTGACGGACCTTCGCTGATGTGGTGACACAGTATGAAACCTATTTTATTGACTAAGCCTATCATGAAGCTTAGACTTTCATCTTTAACGATATACGTTACGACATTGCAAAAGACATTTCTGGCCATTGGCTAGGCTAAAAATAAGGCTTGCCTAGTCTGTTGCAGGACACATTTTAGCCTTTGTCGTGGCTCACAAATCCATAGAAAAGTTGTGTGTCATCTTCAACTGGAGCATCTCTCAGATTAATTTCCTTTATGTTCCAATATGTTATGATCCACTCAAGTTAGACGCGATAAGAGATGAATAATTCGCCATTTTTGTTATCTTCACGGCCATCTTAACTGTAAGGGACAATTGAGTGAGATTCAAGTCGTCTTTGTTTGGAAGGGGAGAGTTGGGAAAACCCAGAATGCTCGGTTACAATGCATTTACACAATTCTATGCATCTTAAAGGAAACACACTACAAAAACACGTTGATCTGAAAAACGTTGCATACATCTATATAAGAACCATTACACTATACTATACAAAAACATTTTCTCCCCTTCATTCCACTACTCTCATGCATACACGCTTGGACACACAGCCTGCCCTGCACTCCCTGTTCCCCGAACACAAGCCAGCAGACACTGATCTGCAGTCTACTGAGTGGACTCTTCTAGTTTTACTTTGATTATCTTTGGTGTTTTGGACAAAACTTCCCAAACATCCCAAATGTCACTTTGGGCTTTGGAAATTGTTATTTTACATACAATCTATCATTAAAATGAATGCAGTCGTGAGAAATGAGTAGTTCCAGTGCACTTCATGAATAACACATGCTTAAATATTCCAAACTGATGCCCACGTTTACAGTTTTGTAAATGAGCTTCTCAAGAAATTGTGCGGCCCTCAATTAGATATAAAAAGCTACATTACTACTGTGCATCTTACCTTTTCCCCCTTTCATTTCCAATGAATAAATCCTCAGTGGCACAGATGTAATGAATCTGGGCTTCTCCCTGTAATAAAAGCAAAACATAATCTGACACATGAAAACAACTGGAGGATTTCTGCACAATGTACTTGATGTGCAGCTTTGTTTTCTACCCATCTTTCTACTTGAATAAAATCCAAACAGGAAGGAAATACCAAAGAGCAGAGAGTTTTGTATAAAAGGAACTACATTTTTAAAAAAATAGGGCTACAACTAATGACTGTTTTCTCAATTACTTGATTAGTTGTTAAATGTATTTTTTTGTCCACAACCAAAAGACACTGTGTTTACTGTCACACAGGAGTAACAAAAAACAGAAAATATTCATATTTAAGAGCTTTTTTATTACTCAATTACCAAAATAATTGGCAGTTAATTTAACAGTTGACAACTAATTGATTAATCGTTGCAGCTCTAGTTTGTAACAAAGGTTTTGAGATGGATGTAGCAGGACTACAAATGCATTATTAAATTATGTTGAAATACAAAATATCATTCTTAAATACAGCAGTGTATATGGGCTTATCTTTTAGTCTTCACTTTATAGCATATAGCTAAAACTGAAATGACTATTATGGATTAATCAGATCTGATTATGAGAGATTAAATAACTACAATTTTGATAATTGATTATTTGATTAAGTCATCTATTAGCATTGCTTCGCTGGTTCCATCTTTTAAAATAAAAAAAAGATTTGCTTTTATTTGGGTCTTTAGGACAAAACATGTGTTTTAAAGATGCCAGCTAGCCCTCTAATCGCATTAACATCCAATAACAAAACCTATTACCTGCAGAGTAGGGATTGGCCGATCCTGATTTTTAGTAACCAATTAGACCGATGACCAATATGTGGAACCAATATACATTTGCTGTAAAAAAATTTATCTTGGTGTCAACACACACAAAAACACATAACTTGTTGAAAATAACAAGATTAAAGTTAATTGTCATGTTTAGTCTTTAAAAATATTAAATTTAATTAATTAAGAGATCCATCCCAGAGACAGACTTGTTAACTATGAGTGTGACATTGCTCCAGCCCACAGAGTGGTGAGTAGGGGAGACCAGGTATGGTTGTAACACTTTTTGCTTCAGCAATTATAACTCACTGAATTTGTTTTAGTGTTTAAAGTTGTTTTAGTGTTAATAATTCTGTGATATTAATAGTTTAGCTCAGGGGTCAGCAACAAAGTTTCAATGTCTGGTTAGCTCTGTCAATAGTACACTTTCAATCAGAGGGTGTTTGGTCCCCCATTGCGTGAACATATTTTTTTCCCTCTTCAACAAGTTAACTATAAAGAGACTGTTTCACATGCTCACAATAAAGCGTGTGGGAGTGTGTGTGTCCACATCCATCAACCTATGGAGGCTTATTTTCATTTCCCCTGCATCTCCAGGCAGAGGAAATTCCTGCGCTTCTCATTCAGGGGAATCACTATTCCTGAGAGCCATTTCAGAGGTGTGTTAAGCACGCCACAGACTCTTCTGACTATATTTCAGAACCTTTCAAAGTAAAAGCTCTCAACTGAATGCGAAATAAAGCAGAGCTGCAAAAAACTCTCGCGCTTAAGAGGCAGTGATTATGTGAGTAACTGTTGCTGCCATGACTGAGATCTATTTCTGCACCAGCCACTATCAAATTATTTATTTATTTATCAGGCATGTGATTGGCAAAGGGCAAAAAAGCAGGAAAATAGACCCCCGACACCCCGATTAAACTGGCGGCGGAACTTTTTTGGTGAATGTGTTGCAGTGGGAATCAAAGACAAATGTCTAATCCACTGCGCCATTGCAACCTCTCTGTAATAATTATTATTTTGTATTCATTTTTTACCAAACAGCTAAATGTGCAACATGCAACATGAATAATTGAGTCTGTCACTAAATAATATAACTACTAACTTTCAAATTAGTTCAGTAGAAGTTAAAGAGGTAGTATTATGCTGCAGGTCCTCTTTTCACCCTGTGTTGAAGGCTTTGTTTTAGCTGGAGTGATACATGATCTTTGTTGGGAGTTGCACATGCGCAGTTCCTAGTTAAGCACTACAAGCCAATCAGAACAGAGAAGGGCAGGTCAGCGAAAGGCCGGTAATAGTGAATCAGAAGCAGAGAAAGGCGGGTCAGTGAAAAGACTGTAAACAGCTTCATTCAGCTGTAGGCTACATTTGGACTGGAGCAAGAGTTTGAGAGTGGTGAGTTATTAATCTGTAACAAAAGTCTCTTTCATCCATAAAGTTTTAACTGAGCTCTGTCTCTACATTACAGTAACAACTTCATGTCCATTGACTGCTTGGAGGGCAGCTAGTGTTTGGAAGGGAGGGGAGAGGTGTGTGCTGCAGCTCAGTGTTTTTCCACTGGTGTTTTTGAGGGCGTGTCGGAATAGTCGCTGAGCTAGCATTATGACACGTATTTTCATTGTGACGTCACAAGAAAGGGAAGTAAAGGCTGGACTACAAACCAGCTGTTTTCAGGCAGTGTTTTCTGTGGGAGATGGGAACTCACTTTGGGGTGGACTTTGGGCTTTTTCGCTTTGCAAACCTATTACTTGCACAAAAAAGATATATAACTCAATAAAGGAGAGGGGAAAAGCCAAAAACCATAATACCACCTCTTTAATTGATTATTTTTTATGAATAAGAGACAGCAGCAAAGGTTGTCGCCTGTTTAAGACCTGGTGGCCTAACTGTTATATTATTCAGGAAACTGTGATCAAACAGCCAGACCTCTGTCTGTTGATAAACTATAGGAAAAAGTTTGACATTTCGACTCTGGCAGCGGACGGGCGTGTGCGTGAGACAGAACGACCGCAACAGTTTCACGGGATCGCGCTAGTTACACAAAAGCCGTGGCCATGGTTACCTCACTGGAGCGCTTGTCTGCCTGTCTGTTGATGAGGAGCGCAGAGCGACCCGCGGATCAAAGCCATCTGAAAAGGCCTTCTATAAACCCCGTCACAACAATTCACAATTTTTTTTTTTTTATATAACCAAAACCTTTAACATAAGGACAACTTAAAAAGCAACCATTCATACAGCAAAGTCTGGCCTCTGTAGCTTATATGATTGATCAATCGACGACAAAGTCAAAGTAAACATTAAAGCTGCAAGCAGCGTTGGGCGGGCCCTCGCACTCGTAGCGCGTCCGCGTGTGAGCCGGCCGAGTTGCATATTCTGGAGCTCTGCCGGTGCGGCTGTGAATTTCCTACGCGGTTCCGACGCCTCATGAAGGTGCTATATGTCACTTCCTGTGTCCCCTATGTGGAGATACATAGCACTTGCCACTATGAATATAAATCGGTATTGGTGTGTAGATGTCTGCGGGGTGGGAGAGTTATCAAGCACGTAAAGTTTGTTTCAGATGTGAGCATGTACACTGAACAATAATGTACCCAAACAATAAATAAATTCCTTTTATATTTCCCTGCCTTGTTGTTTATGTGTACATACAGAGGAAGAATGTGAGAACAGCACACATTTCATCGTTACTGTGTGTTAGAGCATGGGAGAACAGTGGATACTTTTAATACAGCCCACACCCCTAATACTGTGTAACTATAACAAGTAGAGAACAGAAGAAAAAGATGTTCTTTCTTTACAACTGTCTGCATAGCTTATTCATATTGTGTAATGAATGAAAATAAATAGGCCTACTAGGCTCCTCTCTACTTTGACATTTAAGATTAGCTTGTTTGATCCACCTTCATACACATGTGACATTACTGTACAACTTGAGAAAGGTGAGTTGTTTTCTGCTCCAGCCTGCCTAAAAGAAAAGCGTTTTTGGGATTAAATGGACTTTATTAGCTGCTGCAGTGCAGGATGAACTCAGAATAGACCCATTTCTCACCTTATTCTAAATCATGCAACGAAGAAGAAGAAATGCATAATAAATCCTGGGACAAAATCTGTCCACAAATACTGTACAGCATGTAGTCTAATGAACAAGACTTGTGTTATAGCTGACTTGGGCAGTGAAATGTTTAATTTTCTTAATTCATGTGGTCATAGTTGTCCACAACTCAAATCAGAATATAAGAAGAAATGTTTTATACCACCTCAAGAAGGCTTCCTATCAGAAAGGTAGGAAGGTATTTCAAATGTACAACTGCAGTACTTAAATGTACGCATGTAACAGCTTTTATACTTCCTGTGAGTATAATCCAATCAATCTTATTTTCATACTGTATATCCGTTGTGTAATTTGATAAATTGTGTCGTATGTGGTGCTCGCATCAAGTACTACTGACACTTCATTGCCCTCTTCAGAGAAGACTCTGACTGCAACATGCGTCTTTGTAAAGAGAGAAACGGACAGAAAAAGTCTCTAACTCTGCCTGTCAGCTCGCTCTGCTCCGTTAAAACTGAATTTACCATACAGAATTGAATACGAGTGCACTCCAGATTTAGCTGCAGCCAGCTGACCGTGTGCTTCTCCCTATACCGCAGTTCTGTGTCCATGCATGCAGCAAACTGAAAGCACTGTCTGTCGGAGCGTCTACGTGAAAAGAGAAGGAAGACATTGCTGGTAGTATTGTCTTCAGAGTTGTTAAACACCTCAGCGCACTGAAGGAAGCCATCTGACTGTGTGAGGGGCAAGATCGTTGATGTCTGCAGGCAGAGTAGGAGCTCTCCTGTCTGACTGGTCCACCACTAGCAGAGAAGAAGACCCCTTGAGACACAGCCCCTCCTCATTTGCATAATGAGGCAGAAATGCATACAAAAATTTAAAAAAGACAGGCAGAAATAAATACCATGGGTGAAAATAAATAAGGTAAATAAATACAAAGGAAGAATAAAACAGACAAAAATATTAAAACACACACATAAATAAATACATAAAAAAATTAGTAATAAATAAAGTTGAATAAACAAATAAGGTAATTATAACAAAGGTGAATAAGTAAAGGCACTAATTAAAATATATACATTTTGTGTATTTAATTGGATGCTTATTTATTTATTGAGCATTTATTTATTTCTGTATTTATTTCTGACTGTGTCAGGATCGGTCCTCCATAGCGGGGTGGGAGAGTTATCAAGCACGTAAAGTTTGGTTCAGATGTGAGCATGTACACTGAAGTTACAACAACTTCCTGTGTCATGGCGAAGACTTGATCTCTGACGCCACGCCACGGACACACCCATTGACGAAAACTCGCAAATAGCACAACTTTTCATCTTCAATGCCTTTAGAAGGCACAGCAGAAATTTGAGGTCGGTCGGACTAAATCCCTAGGAGGAGTTCGTTAAAGTACGAAGTGTGTAAATCATCCAAAATTTGACGTAAAATTCAAAATGGCC